CTTTCTTTCCTTTAGAAAATCTATTTTTCGGTCGATGACTCATCGAAAAAACGGGTATTTTTCACTTTTGACCCACATAACTCAGTTAGTTGACGGCATATTGTTACGAAATTTTTATGGTAGTGTGACTAGGGTCTGAGCTAGAGAATAAAAAAAACTTTGAAAATCCATTCACAACAACGGTGTTAGTAGCAAAAATACTTCAAAAATGTCATTGTACAAAAAAGTTGCAATTGACTCATATGAATTACTATCATATTGTGCGCTGTAAGTATATGTAGTTCGAATTGTTAACTGCATAAATTTGACAAATGCTGAAAAAGTCCTTTGAACAAACATGTAACCGTCGAATAACGGTGATTGTAAACACCACTCTGTGCGAGATGTCGGGATGTTGATGGTTTTATCGACGAAGAGATTGAGACAGAAGAAGTGTTCGAGAAACAAGTCCAATGTTGAACATTTGGATTTTTCTTTTCGATTTTTTTTCTTCTATCACTCATCGTAATTTTCTCCTGAATCGTCATCCACACTCAAATCCAAAATTTTAGTGTGTCGTAGGCGCGTCTTGACATTGATTCGAATAACCCTGTGACCAATATTCAGTGAGAACTATAACCAGCACTGTCGAAGATTGTGACACTACTGCATTTGACAATATACGCGTCATTACTTTCAATGGTGGCAAATGTATTTAAGGGCCCCCCTTCATCAGAAATTATCTCCGACACCGTACATCCGATCTTGAGAAACTTTCCATAAATATTAGGCACAATGAGTTACGGGAATGAAAAAAGTTTTTTGTCTCCAAGCCTTACGGTTTAGGAGTTTTGCAGAGATCAAGGGCCAAAAAGCACCCTGAAGTGCGTCCCAAGATTTTTTAATATACTTCAAGTTGGAGAGTTCGGGTTTGTTTTATTTTAAACTAGACACCTAACTACATGGATTGATCGGCCCTGATTTTTCAATTAAGCCTTTATTGGTTTTCCAGGCAACGAACAACCTCCAAAATCCAAAAAAGCCTTCTAGATTTTCTAAAACTCCTCAGTTTGCAAAAAACTAAGACCTAATTCAAAAATTAACGCCGGTCAGTTCATGCAGTTTCTTTTCCTCTTTTAAACAAAAAAAGAATGAACTCTCTACGACAAATCGCTATTAAAAATCTTGGGATGCACTTCAGGTGTAACTCTTATATAGAGAAAAAGGTGTATTAAACGTTGTATGAGAGGCGGGGGGGGGGAGGGCTTAAAGCAGATTAGTCTATTTATTATCTACAAGGTATTTAACGCTGTTAAGATCGATAACAGCAAATTTTTTCTACTGATAAAAATACACAAATACGATAAAGTTTATTGTACATTGAACTCAATCATTTGAGTTTAAGCCGATGTATAATGTAGTTGCCTTTTTGTGAAATAGTTAATTTTGTTAACACAGAAACACATTTAATCAGATGCTCGATAATAGTGAGTCAGCATCTAATATTAAACTTGTCAATTATGAAGTAAGAGACAGGTAAATAAAGTAAGAAGAAAAAGACGTGTTCGGGTAACAATGGAACGTTTGAGGAGGATGGAGCATTTCTGAGATGATGTGATGAACATGCATATGTGAACTATCTTAATCACTGAGAGAGATAATTGTGAAGATTCGAAGATGATGTGATGCGAGTCTGGTTCAGTTTAACTAAGAAGAGTATAACTGAGTTATTTTTCATAAATTAGACTGTTCTCTCCCGCGTCTGCTTTTAAACCAAGGGAAGAGCCTCTTTCAAGGTTTGCGAGGCGAAATTGTTAGGCTGATACATATCGTACAATATAAAGAAGGCGAAATTTAGTAGTAATTAAATTGAGTAGGCAAATAATTGCGTCTCACGAAAAAAGACGTGGTTTCACTTCTCTTGGTTTCGGACCAAAAGTCTTTTATAATTCGAAGATAACCTTTTAAATAGGAATACTATCAGAAATTTATACCATTTTGATGAAAGTCTCGTGCTGATAGATCATGTCCTTTAGGACAGTAATAACAAGTTTTATAAATGAATAATTTTGATCAACAACCTATCGCCTACACAGTAACAAACTGTACAAGTTACCATTTATCGTTAGCAATATGTATAATGGAAGTATATATTCCACTCATTGTATGATGCATTTTTTTTATTACTGGAGTGAAAAAAAAGTAGAGAAATATGCCTTTATTCACAACATAATATAAAAATTCGCGATATTTTTGTCAGGTTTCATTTACTTTTAATGACTTGTAGTTGAGTGGCACACCCATGAAACTTATTCTTTTGTAACTCTTTTACATAACATTAAACAATGTTCGTCAGTTTAGTATAAACAAAATAATGTGTTCTTGGCTTCTAAGTTCGAAGCCAAAGACATTTGCTACGAAGAAAAAAACATTTTTTTGATAGTCTTTTTCATAAATTTCGAAATTATCTATATTCAACAAGACACAAAGATGTACAATATTATTGTTCAAATAGTGTTCATCATATACCCACTGTCACTTACAAGAACATATCATATTTTGAATAATAGCCAACGAAACACTTACGGTGCATGTTTCGCCTTATATGAACAAACTTCTTATCCACCTGTAAAATCACACGATAATTGATCATTATTTATATTTCTTCTCAAATTTATGAACGTTAAAAAACATCAAGTACGTTGAATATACTTGATGTTGAATGTGATGCTGAAGTAGCTCGTTATTTTAAACATATAAGTAATAATTACTCTTTAAATAAATAATAAACAAATTCAAACTTTAATTCTAATGTTGATCTAGAAACGTGATAAAAATCGTGTAAAACGTGGATAAAAAAATAAAAAGTGAATAGAAATAATCAATAAAGTATCAAGAATGAAAATAAAAATGAGAAATCGACATATAAATAAATGATATTGTTATTTGATCAAATCTTTTATAAATCGTTTTTCCTCACATGGCGACAAAATCATCGGGTCATATTTATGAAAGAATTTTTTGAAAATTTGAATCAAATAACTACCACTATAACCTTGACATAGTAGCTTTTAGTACATTTCTTTTATATATTTCTTCTTTTTAGACGTCTTTCATTATAGAAAAAAATCACTAGATAACTGGTTTTAGTCTGCTATAAGATGATCTTTGATTAACGGCGTTTCAAAATCCTTATACATTTGATTTTCTTCAAATTTTGCAAAAACGGATAAAGATGATTTGTTACTCAATTAACAAGATATTATCTGATCGTATTTTGAAAGTCATGACTTTTCAATCTAATATTGTTGAATGTTTTGACATTTGATTTCTCGCTGTGTTTATCGTTAACAAGGATTTATTACGATTTCCAGTGTGTGATATTGGTACTATATTCCCTGCTTATGAAATAGCAATTTATCATCTATCTATATTATAATAGGATTTAGTTCTTTCTATCGGGTTAAATATCTGACACTGATATATATATACACGTTTGACTACAGTATATGTGAAGAAATAATGTAAACTAAATCAAATAAGCGCGAAAATATAAACATACGTATACGCACACACACACACACACACACACACGTATAGAATAAAGAGCGAAAATTATACTATTTCATATCAAATCAAATACTTTTTTTCTCCAGGTTTTTTTGTTGCTTTCTGAAGCTGAATGTGTAGCTATATATAACACATTCATTCTTTGCTTATACAAACCGAAAAAGAGAAATTCAACAGAAAAACGTTACCCGCATCATCTAATCATCATGTGCTGTGTAATGAGGTTATGTGGTGAATAAAAACATCAAAAAAAAAGAATTGAGTATCTCTGCTGTGTTTGGCGTAAAATAGAATGGAGTTTTTAAAAATTGTCGATAAATTTTCTGGTACGTTGTCATTAGCCGATGTTCGATCGTTAAGCGATGATTTTTTAATTGATCGTCTCCATTATTGTTATACATCATCGTTACTTGGTGTATTTGCATTTATATCTGCTGTAAAAACATCATATACGGTACCAATTGTCTGTTGGATTCCAGCACAGTTGCGACGATATGAAAAAGCAATTATGGCCTATTGCTATGCAAATAATACTTATTATGTTCCAGATGGACACAATGTTCCGATGACAGCTGATGAACGTTACCAAGCACTAATATTCTATTATCAATGGCTAGTACGTATATTCTGAGAAAAACGTTTTCATTCTAACAGACAATAATGAAAAGTAGAGAAACGGCTCCTTTTTTCCAAAACTCTACTTCGATAAACTGAAGTATTCAAATATTTCAGAATATGACTTCAGATTTTTAAAAGATTGCCGAAGTATAATGTCAAAGAAACCTAAAAATTTTGTTCGATGGCTAAGATACCTATGTAACATAATCTCCAATCTTTCTCGAAGAATGCTTTTTTGCCGTTGGATACACGACATAGTTTTACATCTGCAAATGTCTTGTTGTGTGAGTAAAAAGAAGAAGGATATGTTTCAAAAATCGGTTTGTCTTTAAATGCATCCCGCTAATGTTTCATCGATCTATACTGTCTTATTTTCAGACGAACGATTTATCCATTTTTATTGAGACTAGTGTAAATCCTTATAAAACATAGCACCATTAGATAGGAGCATAACAGCGCCTGTACACTATCCTTCTATACTTGTGCTGTAGAAAGTCTTTTACTTTCGATTCTTTATATATACAAGTACTAAATGTAAGACAAAAGAAGTGATTGATTTCTTCATTTATAACAGAAGTAAAACAGATAAGCGTCATAAAGTAAGACATATAGGATATGTCAGATTTTGTTTAGAGTGTAAAACAATTCTAAAAACTATAAATAATTGATCATCATTAAAATGGTAAAATTTTTCTGAGAAACTCTCTTAGGAATTATAATTTTTTTCATTGTTAAAGGTAAGTGTGCGTACACTTTTAATAGTTTTTTGATCGAACATGCCATTTTTTTGGCTTCAAGAAAAGTTTAATAGACAACCTACAGGATCTTTTTTTCGTATTTCTTGCATTATAATGCGTTAGGCATATCGTAATGCCTTGTAATGTGTTAGCTTTTCTATTGTGTTATAACGCGATAAATTTAGAAAAACATGTCTTTAATGCATTGTAACGCATTAGCGTAACGCTTCACGTGCCAAAAATTGAAATTATAGCGTTATAATGCATTTTTGTAAACGACTTTCTCATATTTTTATAATGTTACAACGCTATATATTCGACTAGTGCGTTAATAGTTATAAGGCGTTACTAAATTTCTATCGCATTAATCTTTAACGCATTGCAACGCGTTATGCATGTTCTGACTCATTGTAAGGCTATAGAAGTTCTTCACACGTTTCAACGCATTGCATTACAATGCATTAACTGGTCAGGCGCTGTAACACTATATGTGACAGTGCTAATAAGTGTGCGTGGGAGTTTATGTCCTAAGTCTCATGTCAGTAACGTATATGTCTGATCAGCGGCGTAACCAGGATTTTTAGTCCAATGGGCAAACTTCTATTGTATCGGAAAAAAACGATGGGCAAAATGGGCAAGGTTTTTGTCGATGGGCCAAAAGATTTTTGGTCCAAAAAGAACACAAAA